AGTAAATAAATATGGCCGACCGGTCGTAAAGAAACGATAAATTAAAAACTAAACTTTTTTTTTTTTTTTAAAGCAGAAGACTTACGTTTGGTTACGCATTTAAATAAACAAAACTTTTTCCTGGAGAAAAATAATCAATCAGATTTCTGGAAGTTTTAATAACTGGAAATTGTCACGCGAATGTTTTTCAAGTTTTTTTTACACTCATCGTAATACTTAACTAATCACACGATATTATTATTATTATTTTTTTTTCCAAAGTTTTTCCATGATTAATTCATTTAAAAAAAAAATCCAGTCAACTTACCGTTTATGTTTATGTTTAACTGCCTTTTGGAAAAACATTTTTTTGTTTTACTTTCTTTATCTTATTATAAAAAATGAATTTTTAAAATGATTCCAGGTTGTTGTTGTTGTTGTTGTCGTTTTTCTTATTTCTCCAGTTTAAAACGTACAAATTTTCACGTGTATTTATTTTAACATTTTGACAAATTTCATTGGGATTACAAACACAACGTCTAACGTGCATAAGTCAAACGTAAAATTTATTTATTTATTTATTTTAAACAATTACAATGACATCATATAATAATAATAATAATACGACCTCTCATCCCACAACGTCATAATCTAACAAAAAAAAAATATATAAAAAAAACCGGAAACTAAATTAGATAGTTTATGTTATTTCCGGTTGGATGTGAGTGAGTGCGTGGGATATTTTTTTTAAACAAATGGATTTTGCGATTAAAAAAAATTTTTTTTTATTTTTTGTTTCTTTGATTAAATATTTCGCGCATGCGTGCGTGCGAATGCGTGTGCGTGAGACGAAACACGCACGATTACGCAAAGAAGTCGATAAATTATTTTGGAATGAAAAAAAAAAAAAAACGTGAATTATAGCAAGCTATAAACAAAAAAAAAAGAATAATTTATTGGTGTCGTAACGTATATCCGACGACTAACAACGCAAAAAAAAGAAATTATTTATTGAAAACGTAACCGAATCGTTTTTTTAAAAAATAATTTTGTTTTTTATTTTTTTATAGCGTTCTATAACTATAAAGATTAATTTGAAATAAAATAAAAAAAATTATAGCGAAACGGCGAGTTTTTTTTTATTCTAATCCGGCGATTCAATCCGACGTCGGAAACGTAAAAAAAAAAAAAAATGAAAAATAATAACCAAATGGTTTTTAAAAATTTTTTTATAGCGCTATATATAGCTATAACGAACATAAATATATTTCTATAGCGAGTTGTTGTTGAATAGTTTGAATTTCGAAAAAAAACCAAATCGTTATCAACCGATCCGATTCTCCAATCTTGTTTTTTTTTAAATGTATATTTTTTTATAGCGCTCTATAACAAAACGTAAAAGTAGAAAAATATTTTATAGCGCAACAGCTTCGAGTACCGTTTTTACGCTATAAAAAAAATCATTAGTGTCGTTTAACGCAAGTTCTAGAATGATATTATGAAAAGAAGAAACCTGAAAAATTATCATCGAATTCTTTTTTAAATTTTATTATAGCGCTCTATAATTATAAAGAAGTTTAAAAGAAAAAAAATTATAGCAAAACGTCATCTTGTGAGTGTGATATTTCAATTTTGTAGAAGAAGAAGAAAAATGAAAGAAGAAAGCAAAAGTTGTATATTCGAAACAAAAGCGTGAAAATAAATATTGTTAAGGAAAAAAAAAAAAAAAATTTTTTTTTTTTTTTGTTACGTTAAAAAGTTGTTTGATTAATAAATTAAATATTATTAATTTATTTCTTTAGGCGTTTAATAAAAGGCAAAATTTCATTCTTTTTATATTATTAAAAATTCCTTTTTTTCTTAACTTTTATCATCATTATCATCATCATCGTTATCACGTTCATCGTTATCATCATCATCGTCGTCGTCGTCGTTATAAAATTAAATTTTTTATTATTTTTTAATAATCGCTCTCGGTCGAACAATTAAAAACGGGATTTTTTTTTTCAAAAGTTGGTAGCTATCGTTTAAAATCACGTGGTTAAGAGAATATCGAGTGATAAGAAATTGATAAGAAAATAAACTTACCGTTACGCACGACAAGAGTCGAATCCCTCGCGAGTACAAGTTCGGAATCCGTTAATGTCGCATCTGACGCATTGTCGGAATTTGAAGATGATTCCGTGTAACCGCCACCGATAGAATTTTGATGTAAAGTAGGCGGTGGAGAGCAAAATGGCTGCTGATAAGTGTGCTGATGTTGTTGCTGTTGCTGCTGTTGATCGATCGGACTAGGCGAACGATAATTATTTGGTTCTTGATATGTGTGATTATTATTTCTTCGCCTTTGTAACGATCTTTGATGATATGGCGAATTTTTTATTTCGCCTTCGGAGCCGTTTAGGCTAAAGGCTGGATACAACCGACCTTTCCCTAAATAAAAAAAAAAAAAGGTTTACAAATTAATAATAGAAGGCGGTGAAATTTTTTTTATAAACAAAAATCAAATGATTTAAATTGAAAAGTGTAGACGAGGAAAAAAATTTTTTTTTTTTTTTTATCTACATTTTTTTCTTCTTCCAAGTATTCTTTTTTTTTTTTTGTATGTAAGAGAAAATAAAATTTGATGCTTTTGAAGTTTTTAAATGTCGCGGTAATAAAAGTAAAGAAGTTTTTCCGAGTTTTCCTCCTTGTCATCAGCACCTGGAAATATTCTCAGCAGCTTCTTTAATCATCCTTTTTTTCTCTTCTTTTAAATTTCCCTTTTATCTTTTTTTCCCCCTCACCCCCTCCTCCTCCTCCTCCTACTCACTCTCTTTCTTCTTCTTCTTCTTTATACTTTCCCGTTTTTTTTTTACCCCTTTCCCTTTTGAATTTTAAATTTAAAAAATATACACATAAATATTTACGAGAAGAAAAAAATAAAAAAATTTTTTTTTCCTTTCAAAAATTAATTACTTTTTTTTTTTTTTAAAAATAATTTTTTAATGAAAACGTTTACCTGACACGACGACGAAAGTTGATCTCAATAATAATAATAATAATAATACTTTTTAAAAAAAAAATTTTTTTTTTATTAATAAACGAAAATGAATTTTTATTAAAAAAAAAAAAAAATGGCACGAGACAAATTTTTTTTTTTAATTTAAACAAGGGAAAACCTTGAAAATTATTTATTAAAAAAAGAAAAATTTCAACAATTCTTAAATGTAAAAAGAGAGAGAGAGAGAGAGAGAGAGAGAGAGGGAGTAAAGAAAGTGAGAAAAGACAGAGAGGGAAAGGGAAAAAAGAGAGAAAACAAAGAAAGAGAAAAAAAATTTAAAAAGTCAGATAGAGAGAGAGAGAATGAAAAGAAAGGGACAAATGAAAGTGAGAAAAGATGAAGAAAGAGAGAGAGTGAACCTAAAGAGAGAAAGAAAGAGAGGGGGGGAAAAGAGAATGAGAGAAAAAAAATTAAGAAAACACAGAAAGAGAAAGAATGTGAAATAAGAAAATGGGAACACGCAAAGAGTGAGAGAGAGAAAATGGTGAGAAAAGAGAGAGACAGAAAGATTACAGAGAGAAGAAAAAAAGAAGACAGACAGAGAAAGAGAGAAGAAAGATAGAAAAGACACTGAGATAGAGAGGGAGAAAAGAAAATGGCAAAGACAGAGAGAGATAAGACAAAAATAAGTGAGAAAAGAAAGAGAAAGAGAAAGAAAAGAAAAAAATCAAAATTTTTATCCTCGACTTTCGAAAGTAAAAATAAACAAAAATTAATAAATCAAAAAAAAATTTTTTTTTCTATTTCCACGACCCGAACCATTTTTTATCGAAAGTGAAATAAAAAAAAATTGTATAAAGTGTGTTTTCAACTCTTTTGATTAATTTTTTTCTTTTGTGTTAAACGTGTTTGAATTGATTTTATATTAAACAATAAACGACCGAAACGTCCTTTTGACAAAAAATTAAAACGTTAACCGAAATAACTTTTTATATTTTCAACAATAGTTTTAAAATTGAAAAAAAAAAGAAAACTTTTTTATTGACAAATTATTTTCTGAGAAATCTTTTACCAATCGAAACTTCTAGAAAATCGGTCAAGTAAATAAGAAAAAAAAAAAATTTTCCCTTACTTACTTATTACCTTTAAAACTTTCTGTTTTCACCTTTCAATTATTATTTTTAAGAATACTTTTATATATACGTTCTATAAATAATTTTCAAAAACTTAAAAAACCGAAAGAAAAAAGTTTCGAACCCCCACCCCCTTCTCCTCTTTTCTTCCTCCTCCTCCCCCCCTTCTAAAAAAAAAATTATTTATTTAAATAAATTTACAAAAAAAAAAAAAGTAAAAGAAGAAGAAGAAAACTCTTATGAGTTAAGCTTATACTTTTATTTTTTTATTTTTAAAAATTTATTACTGGAGAAAAACTGGAGAAACTGGAAAAAATTTATTTATTTATTTATTTGATTTATTTAATGGATAAATATATAAAATAAAAATTTTTTTTTTATTTACGTCTCTGAATCCGTGAAGAAATTTCGATGGAAATCCTTTTACCCAACGTAAAAAATTTTTCAAAAACTAAAGGTTTCACTTTACTTTTTTCTCTCTCTCTCACTCTCACTCTCTTCGTTTCCTTTTTTCCCTCCTCCTCCCCTTTCCCATTACTCCGATATTTCCGCTCAAACTAATGCATATAAACTTTTCGCTTCAATCATGAAGGTGATAAAACACCTCCAAGCATTTTTCACCTTTACAAACCTTTGAAGTTTAGTTAAATCTATCCAAAAAAAAAAAAAAAAAAAAAACTTGACGATTGAAAAGGGTTAAAAGCAGAAGACGAAAGAAATGGTAATGTTTTTTTCTACGTACTCCTCTCCTCACCCTCCTTCCTTCTTCTTTCCCTTTCCAAATCCTTTTTTTTTTACTTTACTTTACGACAGGAATAAAAAAAAAAACGGTCGAATTATATTTTAATCCTTACGGTAGAATTAAAAAAAAAAAAAAATGTAAACAAAAACTCAGTAGAAGCAGAAGCAGAAGAAGGAGCAAGCGATGATCGTTACAAAATCGTGACGTCATTTGATTCATTAATACGTAAAATGTCAAAAACCGGAAATTAGTGTTGCCCTCTTGTGACTAAGTTTTAAACCTATTTAAATTTTTTTTTTATTATGGAAAAACATTTTTTTAAACCGCGTAACGGTTCCCCCCTCCCGTTCGTATCGATTTACGGGAAAATTCGACGATAAGTTTTTGCAAAAATGTCGGGACCCTCTCCGTGCTCCCCACCCCTTCAAAATAATTTTTAAAAAAAACAATTTTTCGGTCATTTTTTTTCTTTTTTTTATCTTTCCGGCTCTCTTTCTCTCTTCCCCCGCCGGCGTTATTTTTTAGATTTGAAAACCTTATTTCCTGTAAATTATTTAAATTGTGGGGGAGGGAGGGGTGTGAGAACCCCAATTTTATATTAAATAGGAGTATGTCAACGGTTATTTCCTTTTTGATTTAAATCAAATCAAACTTAGGGTTAAATATTTATTTTTATTTATTACACATTATCTGGTGGAAAATGCGGAAAATTTTCGATTGAGAAAGAAAAAAAACGGTCGCCATTATATTTAACAATCGACAAACGTTATCACGATTGATAACAACAATAGGGAAAACGTTAGCATGTGCAAAAAATTATTAAAGAGGAGGAGAAGTATCATGAATGGCTGCCATGAAAAAAAAAAAGTTTCAGGTTGATAATCTTGTAAAAAATCTTATGAACCGTCAAAAAAGTAATTTAACTACCTAGAAAAACTTTTTAAGTGCTTTTTACCAAATGTAATATAATAACGGAACGGAAACGGTAGATGAGAAGAAAAATAATAATGATGAAACCACCTCCCCACGTCCCCCCAACCCTAAAAAAAAAAAATTTTAAACTTGGAACAAAAAGAAAATTTTTTTTTTTTTCAATTCGATATTTTCATAAAAGTTGGAGGGGGGAGGTGGAAGGTGAAACGAAAAAAAAATCGAAAGGATGATGATGGTGTGGGGGTCGGGTTGAGGGGGGCATCGGTTGGAAAAACAAAACTTTTAGAAAGAGAGAGAGAGAGAAAGAGAGAGGAAGATTCGTTAATTAAAATTTTGATTCCATAATTTTAAAAACTCTGGAAAAGTTTTCTTTTTTTTTTTTTAGGTTTCCTTGATAAATATACTACTTTGTTTAATGGGCTCATCTTTATCTCATCAAAATTTCTTCTTCTTCTTCTTTATTTCTTTCCCTACCCCCCTCTCTCTCTCTCTTTTCTTTCCATTCGTTTTATTTTTCAACGTAAATCAAATTCGGTATTAAAAAAAAATTTCAAACGTGGTTAAAGTTATTGTTTTTTTTTTTTTTTAATAAAAATTTAAATATTTAGTTAAATGAAATTGTTGAGGAGGTAGTAAAAAAGAAAAAGAAAAGTTTTCCAATTTCGTAAAAAAAAAAAAAAAGGCAAAAACAGAAAAAAAAATAAGAAGGAGAAGAAGAAAAAAATATTAAAAGAAACAAAAAAAATAAAATAAAAGAAAAAATGAAAAAGAAAAAAAAGAAAAAAAAAAAACTTTCCACATTTCATTAAAACTTTTTAAAATATCACAAAATAAAAGTTTTCATTCTCCGAAGTTAAAAAAAAAAAAATTTTTTTTCTTTTCGACCGGGTCGAGGGAAAGTCAAAAAGGGGAGGGAAGGGGAGAGGGAGAAATCGGGGAGGAAGGGGGAGGAAAATAAAATAACAAATAATAAGAAAATAAAAAAAAAGGAGAAGGAAAGAGATTAAAGGTGTGTGATGATTTTTTTTTGTTTTGTAAGGTAGTAAAAAACTTTAAGGTGGAAAAAAGGGAGGGGAGGTAGGAGGGAGG